ATACACACATTTATGTAACCGACTTTTATCTATATTTAATGTTTATGAAGTAGAGGTAGAAACATTTCGTTAGATAAAACTAACGTAGTTCATAAAATATAAGATATAATAACAGAAGTAATATAGTGTGTGCTACTGATGTCGTTAGATATAAGTAGTATGCATAACCGATCCAAAGTGGAATGCCTGACGTAAGAACATTGAGTAAATAGAAGAGAAGAGAACAAGAATAGAAAGTGATTGGTTGGAAACGAAGGAACAACAAAATCTGAGATAATTGATGGATATTTTGCAAATAAATTATTTACTGTACGGTTCTCAGATTTTACTAAGAGATTCTGTAATTTTATGTTCAAGTACATTCGGTTGTCCCCACTGGTGTTCTCGTTCACTACAGTAATACTAGGAGTATCGGTGTTATTGACAAAAAAACTAACTATAGAGAAATATAATTCAAGAAGATTGAATGGATTTCCTAAATAAAACGCATAAGATAGTCTTGAAACTCAGGATCTAAGGGAAGACAAAAAGGGAGTGCACTTGTTACATTGATTACAATAATCACGAGGACCAGAATCAGGTACTTTGGACCTATCTATAGGATTCAGTCCAACAATTAATGCTTTCATGCATGAATCCATCTGAACCTATCTAGCTTTCTTTCAATCTACACACCTACACCTGCCATCATCGCTCGTCGAGGTGGCCAGTGGACAGACATATGTGATTTATGTCTTAACCATTTCAGTCGATAACGATACAACCTCATCAGTCGATTACCCATCCTTACTTATTACTCTGTATCTAACCTTATAAATGAAAAGTTGATGTTCCAAAAATACAAGTGCTCGGAAATACCTATGGTCGAATACTGGTAACCTAGGAATATCCTCTATTATTAATGGACATTCTAAACAAGGGTGATTACAGGACATGAACGTTTTCGAACCCTACATCTATTTCTTTGAATAAGAAGGACAAATGTCTAAATACCAACGATTTGTGTACAAGATCAGCCGGTATTATCAACAAAAGCTTCCTGGTCATTCTTCATTTTTCCCTCTGGCATCGGTAGTTGAACAATCGTATAGCAAACGTGTGTATATAAAACGGTCATAGTGCATTCTAATATTTAGTAAACTTAATTATTTTTTTAACTAGTAATAAATTTAATACATCCGAACAACTCGCTTCAATAACTCATAATACATTGATAAGCAAACAGAGGAATGTAATCCGATCAGCTAATCATGTACATATATCAACACAATATGACGATTGAAATATACGTAACTATTTCATGTTCACTAATTATCTCCACTGGTAACAATGCAAATGTCACTTCTTCATTTCTCCTGTCCCTTGAAATCCACTTTAGTTACTTAATTATTTCACAACTTATTATCTTCATGTGACAATTTTGTATTTTAGGAATAAGAATTCACAGGGGGTGAGAGGCTATTTTTGATAAGTAAAAAAAAGGATGAGTATTATCATGATCAGAAACTCGTGAACAATCTCAACAAATTTCACTGATAAAGATAATTCATCAAGATCAAACTGACAATCAAAGTTTTAGTCACTCAAATAAAGTACAACTGATCTTTTTTTTATAGTCTCTGAAGTATAATCTTACCAACTCAGTGTATTTATTGGATAAAATATATAGCAGATATTCAAAACATACGAATATATAATACAATACTTATCATAATTACTAAAGTATAAGTTTTAAATGACTATAAATTCTGTTTATTATCAGAAGGGGTTTTGTGGATATTATAATAATGTCAATAGTTGAGATCATGAGTCAATTGAAGCTAGACCACCATGGAAAACCCGGAAACACTGGACGGCCGTTTCGTCCTACTGTGGGACTCCTCCTTGACAGCGCACATCCACGATTCCGCCTCGTGAGGTTCGAACCCAGGACCTATCAGTCTCGCGCGTGATTAGATTTGTGAGATACATGTTATTGCAATAATATTTAAATCTAGGACAAAACAACTGTCCAGCGCTTCCAGGTGGTCTAGCTTCAATTGACTCATGATCTCAACTATTAAAATTCTATTTATATTAGCAGGAATACTTTAGAGAATAGAGAGGGAAAACTGGAAGGAACTATTATAAGTATACCCCCTATTTAGATATTGATGTCGAGTCATCACGACCGATGGAATCATCATCATCAACAACAACAAAAATATCATTATGTGTAATAAATAACATTATGAAATGTACTGCTTTTTGCATTATTTAACTTAATGTGACTATATATCAACGATATCCGAATAACAATCTAGATGGAAACAACCACATGTGAATATACTAAGATAAATTGTAAAACTTGTTATAATTTAGAATTTTTATATGTAGTCAATTAGTTAATTGGTTAAATCCTAGAGATTGTTGAATTTCAGTTGAGATCATGAACCGATCAATGTTAGACTATCATTGCAAACCTGGAAGTACTGGACAGCCATTTCGTTCTAGTATGAGAACTCCTTAGAGGTGTGTATCCACAACCTCGTATGTGGGATTCGAACCCAGGACCTTCAGTCACGCGCGCGAACACTTAACCTCTAGACCATTAAGTCGACATCCGACGGTGGCCTAACATTGATCGGTTCATGATCTCAATTCAAATTCAACAATTTCCATAACCCTATATTGATAAGTATTTTTATTACTTATGTAAAATTATTTCATCATAAAGTATCCAAGTGCCATCATGGTCATCATCAAGCATAGTATCTAATGTGCTTAGATAATGAATAAAAATATGATATTTTTTTGCTGCTTTTTTTTGTAGATTTTATGTCCAATCTTATGTGTAGATCAATGTCACGATTACATAAGACTCTATAATCCAATTTAAATTATAATTAACTAACATGGTGTATTTAACGAATACATGAAATTACCAACTTCTTTTAATAATAAATGACTGCCAATATTGTTTGTTAAGAAAAAATTGAACGTAGGACTAGGCACGTATGTACATCGGTCCAAGTTGCCATACCTCATTAGCACAACAACATGAACACCAAATTCATAGAAGTAGTTAATTCAATAGTGATAATATATAAAAGAAAGATTGCATATAAGGACATAATACAGGAATAAATAATTATTTGGTAGAAAGAAAGATGTGAAGCGATTTTAATTTCATAGTTTAAAGGAAGACAAATAGTGTATACACCTACGCCGTTGTGACCGATTCCGAGCCATGTCACCCACAGTCTCCAACCATTGGATACGATAGTCGTGAGGACCCCAACTAAATAGTCTGCATCTAACAACATGGATCAGACTAGAAGTTAGTGACTTCAAGCATTGATGCCACGTATTGATTTGGCCGCCCCTAACTTTCTTCCAACCATTCGCAACACTAGTGAGCATTGAGCGTCGTGGTAATCGGAGTTAAGACCCTCATAAACTGATTTACCACCATCATTCCCTAATACCCTGCACCTCTTATATATTCTGATCACTAATTCACTATATTCATATCATAAATTCGAGAAAAATAATCGTGTATGTGAACAAATTTAGTAAAATATTTCAGGCGGACAAAACTGTATGGGAAAATAGTCTCAAGGTTAGTACTTACTAACATATGACCAAAATACGAAAAGGAAATAGAACACATTCCCACGAGTATGATATCAACTTGTAATCAAAAAACATGGGATGGTCAATAAGAAAATGAGAAAACAAACCACACAAATTGATTTTAGTTAGATTAGCATTGAAAACCTGGAATTACCTGACGATTGTTTCGTCCTAGAATGAAACTCCTCAGAAGTACACGTCTGCAACTCCATCACAAAGAATCAAACCCAAGAATTTCGATCTCGCACGCGGACCCTTAACTTTTAAAACACTGAACTGGTATCCAACTAATTCACGATACTAAATAACCCACATCTCGTATGAAAGTTCGTGGATGAGCACCAGTACAGAATCCTAAACTGGGACGAAACGGCTGTCCAATGCTTCCAGGTTTTCAATAGTGATCTAAGTAAGGACAGTTCATGATTAAAACTACGACAATTCTACAATCTCCACAAATCCTCCGAAAATAATACCAAATATATTTACTGCACCACATTCTGACTTCTTCAGGGAATAGAAAAGCACTCTTATCGAGGACCGACTTATCTTCTCTCTTACTGTAACATTAAGGAAATTAGGCTTTAAGTGCTATTTATTACTCAGTAAAAGAAAATGATGGATGCAAACAAAAAGCGAAATGAAACTTTCTCTTAGTCACTAATCAATCAGCAGGAGTAAAATACTCCAGTGAAAAACAATGAAATCAAAGATTATACCCAGGGGACTAGTTCAAAAAGATAAAAAACACAGCTAATAGACTTCATATTTTATCAACAATAAAAAGTGTTTACAGTTTCAGTTCACCTATCCACTGAGACATATATTATACATTCAACTTGTAATTAAAAGTATGTTTTCGTTCCAGAAAAAGAATAAATAAAAAAAATTATAAAGCTTGTGACTTCAGGCAGTATCGAGGGAATCCGCACAAAATGTACATATGCCAACAAGAAACTCATCAATTGCAGTCCTGAATAACAATGGGAAGATACAAGTAGAACAATACCAAGTGAATTAAAACTTCACCCCATTGCACAAACAAGTGGCTATCAAGACTCAGTAGGTAAATGGATAACGCAATGGCGTTTGAAGCGAACGGTACTGGGTTCGAATCCCAGATTGAACATTAACTGTGAGATGCAGGTACATCCAGTTAATGAGTCCCGAATAGGTCTAAACGCGCATCAAACTGGATTCCACTGCTAGCCACTATCCATCTTTGCTTAGAAAAACTTGTGACTTCGGGCAATATCGAAGCAGTCGGCATAAGATGCACATATTCCAACATGAGACTGATTAATTGCGTTCCTAAATAACAATGGGAAGATACAAGTAAAACAATACCAAGTGAATAAAAACTATTCATTTATAAATTTACTTACCGACAAATAAACGGTGATGAAACAGATGAAAGAATTAATTTTTCACAATATACATGTTCTTGTTGACGAGTTTGTACAATATGTGCTTTTTGTAATCGCTTTAATGCAAATGCTTGAGTTCGATCATTTTTTAATGTTACCTAAAAAGAAATAATAATAATTTATTACAAAATTACAATATTCTAATGATGATGAATGATGAACGATGGATAATAATGACGATAATGTATGTTGTGACTTTAAGTTCATCTAATTATTACTTGATTTATTCGTTAATCAAAATATGATTTATAAAATCTTGGCAAGGTGCCAAATCAATGATATTCAACCTGAATGAGTAACCTAGCGTCTTTTGATCTCCTATCCCTTCCAGTTGAGTCCAGAACATCAATAACAGTTTCCACTATGTGAATCATTTATTTCAAACATACTTAGTCTATATAATAAACAAACAGACCGCATCACTCCATAAAATAGGAAATAATATTTCTACAAAATAAAGCCAAATTGGCTGTAAACGTGGGAGACTGTAATCAATAACTGAACATAACTTAAGAACAGTAAATTGTATAAAAATAATCTTTAAATCAAAATGAAGCTTATAATAAGAGGAATATAGATATACATAATATAGTTACTGAATGATTATACAATAAGTATATATATAGATAGATTATTAGTTCATTAATGGTACCCGTAGTTTACTCTCCACTAGGATATAACAATGCACAGATAAATGAATCATTATAGATCACTTTCTACAACACTTATTGAATGTCTTATTCTATGAAGTGTGATAAATTATTACCGAAGAGAGTTTATCAAATAAAGTTGATAAAAGATTAATACTCATTCTCATGGATAGAATGATAACCATCATTTTTCAATGTTCAAAAAAGAAGACGCAATATCTAGTATTTTCCGAGCATCTTTTCCGTTTATTTGATGGATGAGTATTGTATATAAGAGCATAGTTTTCAATAAGAATTTCAGTTCAATTATTTACGACTACCTAGCTTTTTGAACATTCTATTTTATAGTGAATCCCAACTTGACGAATGAAAGTTAGAGATTGAAATGAAAACTATACTCTTATGTGCATTATTCATGGAGAATATGCTACATATTGCACACATATTGATCATTGAAGTGCGGATGCGCTAAAAATTCACGGACACGTATCCTTATCCGGAGCATAGTACAGGGACTAACTTAAAACAATAGTGACCAATTGTCAATCAGTTTTTAGTTAATCAGAAAGCAGACTTTGTTAATAGATAGTTAATGGGAATGAAGACAATAAGATTACTAAATGTAAACAGATTTTACATAATTAATGAGTCCTAAAAACGTACTATACGGGCTCCTTTACCTGTAAATAGAAAAAGATGACATGAAAACTCGACCTCATGGACAAAGATTACAATTTATCTCTAACAAAAATAGATCTCTAAGAGTCTCCACACTGTTTTTTGATCAGATTTAGGTATTTAAGGTAAGGGTTAAAGGTTTAGGGTTAGTTTTCGTTATGAACTGATATTAGTTATGATGCAAAAGTGCTTTGGAGCGACATAGATATATATTATGACGTAGATAAATCCTGAGATCATCAGCATAGAGACTGGTACAGATGTAGATTGATCCAAATTTCCACAACATATTAGCGAGACGAGATAAAAATAGCAGAAAAGACCAAAATGATATAATTGAAATGATAAAAAGAAAAACTAAACTTTGAGAATATAGATTGAAAGACAGAATCGAAACGTATGTATGAAAGGATAGTGGAATTCAAGATCAAGAGGAAGATGAAGAGTGAGTGCATCTGTGCCATTACGAACAATTCTGAGCCACGTTACTCAACATCTCCAATCACTGATTACACTTATCACACAGATCTCAACCACATAGTCTACATTAATCAACATGGTCCAGTCCAACAATTAATGATTTCATGAACTGATGCCATGTTTTTAGTCTGCCCCACCTTATACCTTTTTCTTCAAACCTACACTTGCAGTATCAATCATCGTGTACAGAAGTAGACTGTGATATTTAATTATTTACGTGTGTTTCCTTGAGATGCAAAAGGACTCTTGAAAAGTCGCATCTCTCTTAATATTTATATGTAATAGTCACATTATTTAGGTGTCACTTATGTATTACTAGTCGTTCGACCTATCTAGTCTACATGATGGAAGTATCTAGCGTACATATATAATTTAGACCTTTAAACAGTAACAATATGCTAGATAGTCTGTAAGGAATATCGTCCAAATAGAATTTTCATATTGTTCTTCATATGTTATACATATAGTAATTCTATCAGTAATATGATATATATATGTACGTGTAGTTTGGGTTCAGTTTGTCTAATCCTAAAAAAACCCTACTATTACTAAATACTAATAATGATGTTTTTGAGCAAAGATGAATAGGGTTTAGCAGTGGAATCCAGTTTGACGCGTGTTTCGTCTTATTTGGGACTCGTCATCCGAATGTACCTGAATCCAGCGAACGGTACTGGGTTGGAATCCCAAAGTGAACATCAACTCTGAGATGAAGGTACATCCAGCTGACAAGTCCCAAATAAGACGAAACACACGTCAAACTGGATCCCACTGCTAACCACTATTCGTCTTTGCTTAATTAGTCAGTTTTACATATTTCAAAAGTGTAATAAAGGAGAAAGACATGATTGAGGTGAAAAAGTCAAGTGTATAAGTATTTGCATAATACGTATCTCCATTTCAAAGTAATTAATTATTAGTCAATAAAAGGTTGTATAAGTACATAAAATGATGATTGTATATTGAATAGAAAGAAGATATGATAGAATGAAAAGTTGTCACATCACCTCATTTATAGTTCTAAGAGTAAAATGTATTAAGGACAAGTTCAAGATAAGATCAAAATGTGTGTTTGTTGTATAGATAAAAGTGAATTGTTTATCTAATGGTCAAAGCTTTTTTTTTCTTTTTACAAACACCTAAGATAATTTCCATATTTGAATACATGAAAGTCCAGCTTTTAACCTACTTTAATTAGTAACTTAACTATAGAAAAGTATTAATATTGACATTATTATTATTTAACCTATATACGCTTATCTTGGGTTTGTTGTGAAGTTATTTTGGCATACATGTTCTATCATCTTCAGTTCTATGTTTGATCAGATCATTATTCAATATGTTGAATGATTCTATACAAATAAATTTAGGAGATTGAAATTCTTGGATTTCATCCCCAAGGTCATTTATACACACTGTTGAAGAGTCTCATATATACTAGAACGAAATGGACATTCAATGATTTCAGATTTCCAATGTTCACGATTTAAAGTCTATGAAATACACTTGTAATGTGATTTACATCAATTCTACTTCTTATCAGCATGTCGAAAAGAAAATAGTTCACCTAATATTTTAATATTCAATTCATTGATAAGTGGTTCCATTATAGTTAAATATCACATTTCTAAACAAATAAAAATTATCGGTTGATTACATAACTTTTTAACAGATGTGTAAACTTTGTGGGTATCATTGTTTATCTGGATAGAAACACATGTGTATGATGCACATACATACATACAGAGAGAGAGAGAGGTATTTCACTTTCTTCTCGCACTGATTAAAATAAGGATAAACAGTCGTTGGGTAAACAAACAAACACATGAGATAAGCCTTCTTTCCAATATCATTTACATGGTCAGAAAAAGATCTAATTCACATTAATTGTAATGTAAATAAGTCAAACAGAAGTGGGGGGGGAAGCGGGAAGAATGGAGATTATGAAACGAAAACAAGTCAATGGATAAAATGATTACTATTAAATTTATATTAAGCATATATATGTAATATGTAGGCAGATAAACAGAGTGATATCACGATTTTAATAGCAAAAAATTAATGTATTCCATACTTTGAACACTTTCCCTCCTTGTTTACAACGTATCTATCACAATCATTCACGAATTCACTCACCCTTTTAAATGTCAAGAATGTAAACAATAAACAATGAAAGGAAAATAATCTATGCAAAAATAAAATAAACATATAAACACTCATGTCATCAGTGGATATAATGAATGGATATGGAGAAAAAAAACAAGCATCTTCTCGCAATTGATGCTATGAAGGAGTATAATTGATCAGCCTCTTTTAGCATATATGCATCCTGTGTGGATTGGTCTCAATATGCTTGAATTTTAAGCAGAGTTGAATAATGGTTAGCAAATGATTCCAGGATGTACGCTTTATCTTATTTGGAACTCATCAGCACAAGTGAATAGCTATCTGAACTCAATAGCTAATTGAATAAAGCGTTATTTCTTTAAAGCGAAATGCAATGAGTTTGAGTCCTGGGAATAAACACCAACAATGGAGTGCACGTACATCCATCTGAAAAGTTCTGAGTGAAATGAAACTAGTTAATTCTCATAACTGGATGTACAGGCATTTCAGTGATTTAATGTTGAAACTGAGATTAAAACTGAGTAATTCATTGATTGTTTCGAATCTCAATTCAGCCCCGGTAACTGGAGGGAGAATACGAGGTTCAGATGAAGGAAAGTATATTCCACAAGCAACCAGAAGCACGAACAACAACAAGCAAACAACTGAAGTGTATATATACAGCATAAAAATGTCCTTGGGAAACGTCACAAAATAATATATCAAAAGAAGAAATCAATCAATAACATTTAGGGTTTTTTCAAGTGGGAACTATAATGTAAAGGTAAGAATGGGTGCTTTTGACGCGAAAACGAAAAATTCAAATTCCCAAAATAAAATTACAAAAATAAGACGTTTACCAAGTGAGTGCTGTGGATCCAGCATCCCAAGCAACTTCTCAGGTGTCAGTCAATAAGTTCACACCGAAATCTAACTGAAGATGATGATGAACCTTTAGGACAGCACTTCACTCTTAGACTATTGAATTGAAAGTAAAGCAGTGTATATTCCAAATTCCAGTTGATTTCAATCGATCACAAAATAATTATCTAATTACATTGACGACAACCGTTAATTGCTGAGATGTATCAAAGCAAACACATGTCTAATGCTTACCACGTCCGCGAGGTCGATGTGCTCTACTTTACTCAACTGACTCATAACAAACTACTTCGAGTTCATTTATGCTTTTAAACCGCTAACTCTGTTACTGTATATTTCACATGATTAATAGACCAGGCAAAATGTGGATTTCGAAAGTAGTTTTCATCCTCAAACAGTAGCTTAGCGATGAAAGAACTCGTGTCAAACAGCAAGTTGCAGTTTCATACTCCCGATAAATCAAAATTCAGTTTAGGAAATCAGTTAATAATATCACCGGCCGTTACATGCATAACACACTGTGTTCCAATCCAAAATGCACTATTTTGTAAGTGGTATAAGGAAATAGGCAACAATGGAAAACTAACCAATACTGACTGATTATTTCGTTCGAGTTGCATATTTTTCAGTAGTCAATACTCCAAATCTCACATGAGATAGGAGACATTCCAATTTCGTAGAAAATAAAATACCTTCAAACTATTAAATTCACAATACAATTGTGCATATTTTGAAATTCTGTCATAAAAAAAACTATTTAATGCTATCAATAAGTCATTGTTTCACTCCTTACTTACATAACAACAACAAAGTACGAAACTTTTATTCATAAATCATCCAATAGAGTAGTATTGTTTGATATTTTCAAAGAATAACATAGAGTATGTTAGCTAAGCTTTAATAAAAATAACACTAATAGTCATAATAAATACGACAGTTGAAGTGTTAAGGACATTTGGAAAATCAACAGGATAATAGATACATCGAAATAATTGCTACCCCAAATGCCCTGGTACGGCCGAGAGTGGGGAGAGTCAGCTCTCTCTTCCTCTCTCTCGAAATCCTCTCACATGGCCACGTGCATACAACCACTGCCAGTGAAGTCCTTTCACTGCCTTCTCGCATCACGGGTGTTGATTACGAATTTGACAGGACGAAAAGCGAATGCTCGGAGCATTAACCGGGTTGGCAGACACGGTGAGTTCACTTAGAGGAGTTGGAAAACACTCATTCCAAACCAATGGTGCATATGAGCTCCACAATCCTGAGGGAACAAATGACCTATGAACCGACCGTTGGTCACTGGCTATCATGGAACTGGACCACCTTACGTTACTCCACTGTCTTGTGGATTAGATCTTCTGGCCAAAGGCTCTAAGTGTGGTCTCCTAAGAAAACCACCTGCTTCGGTTTGGGCACCCAGGCAGTATCCCAGCTCTCACACAAATCTAATGATTTATATGGCGTATATCTATTTGGTGCCTCCTTGTACCAATGTTTATGTGTTTAAATAAATACCTAATTATTAAAACACATTAGATAGGAAAACATGGTTCACAGCAGTAAATAGCCTATGTTTGAGCTCTGGTTGCCTTACATGCATCAATAACTTCAATGTGAAACTTCACAACTTACTATGAAGTTTTGACAAAGTTTGTACTATTCTAAAAGACTCTCAAAGGAGAAGAAAACTGTAACAAGTATAAACCTGTGTCGATTTGTGATGAAAAATATGCCTTTAAAAATTATCATTCAAGAAAATTACAGTACATTTGTTTACAGACATTAGTGTTTTGTACAACTACACATTGGTTAATTCTCAGGAGAATTAAGAAATACTAACAAATGTCATCAAGCAAGAAAGTTATGTATAAATGGCTGACTTACAAATGAATTCTACAGTCACCAGTTAAAGAGAAAAAAATTAGTGTATCACAACGTTTTATCATTTAGATTATTGACTACATTGTAATTTTACCAGACCGACTTCGATCACCATTCATTAACTTCAACACAAATGATAAAAGTGAAAAACTCTCAGCGGGTCAATCATTCAGTAACAGTTCAGAAAACTTAGTGGTAACGTCTCTGTCATTGTGACATCGTCTGAGATAGATCCACAAATATCACAGACAGATTTCTTCTTGATGACAAATCCCAATCAGCATGAGACCAAAATCAATCAAGTATTTTCTATCGATAATCTCCAACTACCTAGCTAAAACTACAGTATCAAAATGGGGTTTTTTGGAGATTGTAATAGTTTAATAGTTGAATTCATGAATCGATTAGAGCCAAACCACCGTGGAAATACCTAAGAACACTGGACGACCGTTTCATTCTAGCATTGGGTTCCTCAGAAGTGCGCACCCTTGATCCCGCATATGGGACTCGAACCCAGGACCTTCGGTCTCGCACACGAACGCTGGGTGGTCGCCCAATATTGTAGATTGGTTAAAGTTAGACATTGACACAGTTGGATGCCGGCCGGCTCAGTGGTCTAGAGGTCAAGCGTTCGTGCGCGAGACTGAAGTTCCCGGGTTCGAGTCTGGCATGTGAGATCGTGGACGCGCACTGCTAAAGAGTTCCATACTAGGAAAAAACGGCCGTCCAGTGCTTCCAGGTTTTCCATGGTAATCTAACTTTAATCGACTCGTAAATTCAATTATTAAAAAACTGCATTAATATAACATTATACATATATACATATAGATTGAACTTACTAAATCCACTCTACCGAAACCACCGACACCCAGTACACAAATATGTTCTAAATCTTTCAATAGTATATTACATTGAATTTTTGGTTGTAATGATAAACTAGCCGGTAGTAATGGTTGATTAATTAAACCGAATTTTGTATGTAATTCATCTTGACTTTTTGTTGAAGTTAAATCTAATTTTCCGGTATCTTTTGTGCTTATACTAACAGTGGATGATTCTTGTGAAAATGAACTGAAAGATAAAATTTTCAGGAAGCAAAATTGTCATAAATAATAAACACACACTCATGCAAAGACGTACATATTAAACACAGGTATTCTTAATAGGTGAACAATAAGTCGGGGAGAAATCAGTGTTAAGTGTTCGAAGGTAGATGGCCAATAGGAAACCGTATTTCAACTAGGCTACGTATTCTTTAATACTCATCAGTAAGGTGTATCTGTAATCTCTTGGTGTAACAATTTGTAATTGTATATAAGAAGGAAAAAATCGATTTAATCGAAACGAAGATGACTGGCTTGTTTGATTTGAAATAATTGATTATTTTCAATCAGTGGACGAATTCACTTCGGGATTTGAATGAATAGATAAGTTCCAAGTGTTGAGAGATACTGAGTTTCATTTATCTTAATTTGTGTCCGGTAAGAGTAAACGAACGGGAAAGAGTAGTTAAACTTTAGATGGGGTATTTAAAATTTTTTATTTATTTTAACACATATTCATTTGTACAAGGAAGCACCAAATAGATATGTGCCACATAAACCATCCGATTTGTGTGAGGGCTGTGATACTGCCAGGGTTCCCAAACCGAAGCAGGTGGTTTTCTTAGGGGGCCACCCCCAGAGCCTTCGACCTGAAGGTCTGATCCACAAGGCAGTGGAGCATCGTCAGGAGATGCAGTCCTATGGAAGCCGGTGACCAACAATTGGTTCATACGCCATTTGTTCCCGCAGGATACTGGAGCCAGCCCATGTGCACCATTGGTTTGGAATCCGGTTAAAGAGCTGGACATTCGCAAGCGAGCGAATTTAAAAATAGAGAATGAACTCTATCATAATAGGAAGATATGTGGACTATTGGATAACAACCAAATGGTTGTAATTCCTAAAGGTCCACGATACAAATCAATGACATTATTTTCAGTGCATACTACTAAATGAAATAGCTGCTTAGGTCCAACCTAATCTAATTTCATCCTTCCTTTGTGAGGATGCTAGTTTTCTGAAGGAAACACTTTACTGAGGCCACACTTCTGAACAGTTGGTATTAAGACTTTTCCCTTGGGCATCAAGTTGCTAGTTTTAACCTTACCGTTCTTAAATTGACCTGTACGGAGTGATAGGACCGAAAGAAACAATTATTCCAGCTAATATAACTCGACTGAGGTAATCAGAAATGTTGTTAGCGATAATGCTGATAGTATATATGCAAAACCTTATCCCATCTTCAATGGATAGAACTAACAACTTAAGTTTAAATGTCATATGCTTCCTACATTGTAAGTTTTTATATAAGAGGCCAAAATAACTCAGTGTTAGCGTCTCAGACAGTGAAGCTACGTGACGTGGATTCAAAAGCTACTGTGAATATATAAGTTTCCTCAAGGTCTTACACACGTCATTCGAACAAGTGTCAACTAACATGAAATCTAGGTCGAGTAGGGTTTCCTCTCAAATACCTTAAACCGCAAAATATAAAAACATAATGCATGTGATGTTGAGCCGCCGCCGCCGCCACAATACTAGTTCACTAGACGAAATTCTATTACAACTGAAAGGACTAGATAAAAACAAAATTGATATCACTACTCAATGGCCAATCAAACTAATTGAGGAAATAAAACATTGAATAACTTAAATTATTAAAAAATATCCTCCTATAAACTTACCTATGGCCTAATAATCGTGTTTCTTCATCAGCATATTCTTTATTTTTCAATTCTTGTATATCACCAATCAATTCCAAAAAGTCTCTGAAATGTAATAAGTTAGAAAATACATTACATGGAAAAAAAATTGATTTACTTCAAAGGAAAACAAACAATGTAATTTATATGAATATTCGTCAAGATCAGAACGAATAATGTGACAGAAATTGGACGCAGAGTATAGAGAAGTCATCATATGTGAAAATTATATTTGAAATAATCTCAGCGATTGAGATTTAAATAATTCCAACGTTTCGTCTAACTAACTTGTCTGGACTTCTTTAGGGTAATAGTCAAAATCAAAATTATCAAATAAATATATAGCTTTTAACAATCAAAACCATACTGTGTTTGATTATTACCCTGAAGAAGTCCAGACAAGTTGGCTGGACGAAACGTTGGAATTATTTAAATTTCAATCGCTGAGATTATTTCAAATATAATTTTCACATATAAGCAATGTAATGTTGATGAAGCATAGAGAAAGTAATCTCTCAAGAAATTTATGAAATAATAACTGGTATGTTTATGAATATAATGTTATTGAAGGAAAATAGCTGTTTCTTAGTGGATAAAGAGTTTCAATGAGGGATATGAAGATCAAATGCAAAGACAACACCATTGAATCAAATCAGGTTTGATCTCTATGATGATCTAATGATTAGGTTTGGTGAAAAATCGTCTGTAAAAACAATTCCAACGAAGTATTTGTAGGTGATAGAATTATATGTAAATTTCATTTGAAATTTTTTGTCCAAAAGCTGAAAGAACTAAACCACGGTTCTGAGAGTAACAGATGACAGAACACGAATAGTCGAGGCAGATTGTTGTACCTTCAATTCACCATAATACACTCTTTATGACATCAGTTGGAATACTTACTGAACTTACAGATTAAATCATGAAGTAATCTTATTTAAATAATCATTAAAAACCTGGAGATACTGGATAGCTATTTCACGTGAAGTATTGCGTAGCCGCCAGTAGGAATATTACACAATTGAAGCAAATATGTCATTTCTCATCAGTTTTTAAAAGCCAAATAATGCTGAGAAAGTTATACAAATATTTATGATGTGTATGAGGGATGGAGGTTGAAGAAGAGTTTTGTCATTTATATTATAAAATAAACGAACTATAAAAAAAGATGGGAGATTTCGACTGATAATAACTGTGAAAATAGAAATACTAGAAGCACATACATATACCTATAAGATATGACAGGAATAAACAACGAATTTATGGTAAGTCGGAATGTCATATAGAAAAAGAAGGAATTGAAACTAATGATTTATGTATCCATACACCTGGGTGATCACTGAGTTCGCTTTGGTTAGTAAGCAGAGACACGTATAAACTTTGGAAGTTTCACTGGGAATCTGTAAATGCTAATGACGAATGTGTATCATTTGTAGATCATTCGTATTTTATTAAACGGGATGAGAAAATGCTGAACACTTTAAAATTTACTCCATAGGTCTTATATACAGCTATAATGGATAATTACTAGAAACGTCAATGGGTTCGTTGAATCATTTTTTCTATGAAAGTGTTACCATAGAAGTGGCTGGATGTATTAAGACAAACAGAACTTCCACGACTCTGAATTCCATTCTTAACTTGTATCGCGAATGTATAACCCGTCGTAAAAGCACTGCTTAGGATGTAGGAGTTAAAACGTCCACGTGCATTTGTCGTGTGCTGATAGGTAAATGATCCGATGGTCTAATAGGAAAAACTCACGCCTCCATCGATTGGTAACTGGAATAATATTGGGCTACCAGTATTAGATCTATTCAATGTATAGTCGTTGTTATACTATTTATTGAAAAAAACCCCATCTCAGATGCATACCACAAACACAGATACAAAAATCTCAAGCTGAGTAATATAAATGAGTTTTACAGTACTTGCTTGTTTATTAAATAGTTCATTGCATAAAACTTACTTTCGATATAAACATAATACTTCAACACCACCAGGACCAACAGCATAAACATTTGCTGTTCGACGACCCTCACCGAGTAATGCTTTTTCACCAAAATATTCACCTTTGGTTAATTGTCTAATTTCAGTTTCTTTGGTTTCGGTTGAACCATTTTGAGGTGAGGATATAGTGACTCGAACCTTAATGTATGTGTAGCACAATATAATAGCAATAAGCGACAAACTTATAAATTCAACAAAATTCATACTAGAAAATAATTAAAGACAGATTAGCAAGGAAAATGTCCTTTACGACATCACTTACTTTTGGAATTTAGGTCTGAAATCATTATTGGTTAACTTATTTATGCCATTAGACTAATAGCCCTAGCATAATATATTTGAGTGGCCATGATGAGATTACCTAAGAAATATGATTTTGCTTTGAAGTTACATAATTGTACATCCTGGCTTGCCTTATAGTGATAGATGGCGGTACTGTTTGGCAAGAACTATTGAAGTATACAAGCAAGTTTACTGATAGAATTATATACTTAACATAAAGAATAAAAAGATACAGAGTGATTTTATCTGCGTGGCCGAGCCATGCCGACTCCATTAGGTCCTCCTGAATTCACCATCTATGACTTCCAAGTTTTCAGTGCTTAATGTAGGTCTTCTCAGTTATCGTATGTTTGGCTTCAAGGATCGTGTGGTTGAGAACCAATATCACTAAATATTAACCTCCACTCTTTTTATCTTCTAAGATATTGTTTGTCCAAGTTCAAGGATAATCTGAAGTGATGGTTCACTGTCATTCCATTGTCGCGACACACGAAAAGCTTAATGTTACGATGATAACTACTTAATAATCCGGAAAAAATTAATGAGGGAATAATGAAAATAGAATATTGGATATGGAAGATAAAATGTAATGACTTAATCCAACAACGAAAGAGTAAATGAACATGTTGCATCAGTATAGAGACATTACGGTTGAATTGGTGGATTGTTAAAATATCAATACGGGGTTGTGGAAATTGAGATCATGAACCGATTGATGTTAGACCACCATTGAAAACCTGGAAGCACTGGACGGCCGTTTCGTCTTGTTGTGGGACTCATCAGCAGTGCGTACCCACGACCCGGCGAGCGGCATTCGAACCCAGGGCCTTCAGTTTTGCGAGTGAACGCTCAACCTTTAGACCACTGACTAGGCATCCAACGGTGTTAACGTCTAACCTCAACCAATTCACGAAATTGCGCGACCATTTTCTATTGTACTGAAGTAGATACCCGTCTCTACCCGACATACTATCTTTACCATTGACTTCAAATAGACTTTTGAAGTTATGTTTCTAGGAAAACATGATTATATATAAACTGTTGCAGATTGATGGCGTGGTGTTCCTCTTTGGAATAAATAATAAATTCTGTAAAATTCTCAAGGAAATCGAAACATTATTGTTAGAAAATGTTCTACCATGTCCTTCTTTAACTAGAAGTACCTAGTACATTATACTGTAACATCTCCACTTTCCAACAACAAAATATACACAGAAAAAAAACTGGACGCCAGTTCTAGTCACTTGGAATAATTAACTTTGAAATCAACACTTCACTTGACCAGATCTAAAACAATTTGATGAATATAGAATTATCGTCAAAATTCGGAACATTTAGTGTGTGAATATTTCAGTTCTATATGCCAGTCAGCATCTGAATAACTTCAAGGTGCCTGTTCCAGTCATGAACGTTAATCACGCTTTTTTTTAAAGGAGCCCATTGGGTCTTTGAGATAAATATTTTATTAACTCATACGGGCGCACATAACCGAGCTAGGATTTGTTTTTTATGGAGGAGTGACTATCAAAACCCGGGGACCCAATGCTAGATCTATCACTATTGAGATGACAGGATAGAATCCACTCCCTTGTGGTAAACATATATTACATAAACATCAAAACTACACAAATTTGGGACTAATGGACCCCGCAAGTATGTAAATAAGTATGAATGTTTTATTTGGTGAATAAATACCAGTAGGTTTGGTTTGTAAAATGGATATCATATACGGACATATAATCATAGATGAAATCACAAATTTACGATATAGTGGTGGGTTAATTTGATCACCATCGATCATCTACGTTGGTTCATGAGGCACAGTTCCACAAATCCCAAAACTATGAAGACAAAGTCTGGTCCGGATTTCACTTAGTAGTACCATCTCTGACAGTTGCTGATGCTAGTTCAAATAGCACTACAAGTAATAGTTTCCTCAAGATTTCAAATATTCCCCGCCTATAAATGCCAACTAAAACTGAATTAAGGTAGCTAAGATAGAGGTCATCACAAACCCAATTGAATTTATGAAATCGTAATAATAATAATAATAATAATAATAATAATAATAATAATAATAATAATCCATGAGCATCTTTGAAACACGACATATGTTTCAGCGTGACGCCGAATGTTCTGAGTTTTATCCTCTATTATTGGCATCAAGAATTTTCACTCCTGCCGAGTCCCATGATGTAGGGAAATGACCGCCCACTGCTGACAGACTTTTATTGGTTATGCAACTTAAGTCGCTCCGTGTTATCAAAAAATTCAGCAATTTCCAAAACTTCATACTAATACACTATAATTGATTTCATAAATAAATTTCCTTACCTTTCCAGATTGAATTAAAAAGAAACTGTCAGCCAGTTCACCTTGCCTTATGATACAATCACCAGCTGAATGATACTGAGCCTCTAATGCATCAGCGATTCGCAATATTCGATTAGGTGATAAATCTTTGAGTAATGGTACACTGTGTAATGAAAAATAAAAGAGAACATTAAAATGTAGACTGAGTATAGTCATCAATCAAACGATTATTTGCGGACTAAAAGATTACTGATTTGGCATAATGTGAAGAATTTCTAGAAAATTGCACCAGATTGATACAAGGTGAGTAGGCATATGTATATTATCTCTCTAACTCAGTAATAACATTTTATGATATTCAATTCATTAACAATATGACATTCTAATCAATACGATAATAATAATAATAATAACAATAATTTAATAATTGAATTCATGAGTTAGTTGAAGTTAGACCATCATGGAAAATCTGCAACATTTGCTCAATACTGACTATCTTCAAGAGGTATTGCCTGCAGTTCTAGTGAGAAGCAGTGAACAGTAGAGTTCAACCACCTCTTTTATAAAATACTAATTCAATGATGAAAATCGTAGACGGTGAAGCGATTTCGTCGATTCGTTGAAGTTAGACAATAACACAGTTGGATGTCGACCGGATCAGTGGTCTAAACACTAAGCGTTCGCGTGCGAGACTGATAGATTCTGGGTTCGAATCTCGTGAGGCGGAATAGTGGATGTGCACTGTTGAAAAGTTCAATAATAAGATCAAACGGTCATCCAATGTTTCCAGATTTTCCATGGTCATCTACATTCAATTATCTCATGCACTCAATTATTAAATTACTACATTCTTCACAAAACTCCTCTATGGTTATAATAACAATAATAATAATGGGTTCACATCATCCATTGTCACACTATTTTCAAATCAATATATTTCACATTCATTATTCAATCGACAATTTTATATAATATATGACAGGCAACAACTTCCCTTCATTGTATCCTTCGCATCATTTCGTGTGTACTTCGTATCCGTTTCACAATAGACCCATTCACCTTCACATTCATATGATGCATCAGTAAACTCATCATCAAATATGGGTAAAATCACTACATCAATCAATGTATTTCATTTAACGATCAAGTCGCTTTCAACAACTTCTAATGAACTGTTTATCCAGAGTCAAGAAATTTTCATTCAAATCATCAATCAATCAATCGATCAATCAATTAATGTTAGACCATCATTGAAAACCTCGGATCACTGGGTCACCGTCTCGTTCTAGTATGTCACTCCTCCTTATCAGTGCGCATACACGATCTCCTTGCATGATTCAAATCAAACACTCTCAGACTCGTGCGCGAACACTTCATCTCTAGATCGTTCAGTGTTCACTAGCGTGACCGATAGTGTTGGATTCGAATCATGCGTGCGAGATCGTGTATGCACATTGATTAAGGAGGAGTCCCATACTAAGACGAAACGGTCGTTCAGTGTCTCCAGATTTTTAATAGTAGTCTAACAGTAATCGATACATGATTTCAATCAAGTTCAACAATCGCCACAATTCCAAACTGTTAATAGATTTTCATTGCATCAGTCTTTCGTGTTCTTATTTCGAGTTGTGGGAATCACAGGAATTCCCATTTACAAGCATAAAACAGAAGGACCGAGGATCCAACAGAGCCAATACGTACATAATAGAGGCGATATACCCATAACAGTACCAAGTTATGATTTTACAATAAGAAGAGACGAAGATTATCAGAACTAGCCGATATATTAGCCTAATACATTGCGAACAATCTGATTACATATACAGATTTATTAAGTGCATTTATATATAGGAAATTAGGTCAGTTAAATGAACGGAAGGTAAGAGGAAACTCATCACGTTGGATAATAAAACAAAACTACCAGGAAAGATTAAGGATGAGAAAAACCGTTTTTGAACACACAAACGTGGTTTTAATTTTCTTATGTCCAAGATCTCAATAAACCTCAGTATACCCTCTTGAACACTTTGTACAAAACCACAAAAACTGAGTTAAGATCATTCTTATGGCCTGTTTCAACTATATGTTTAGTAATAGAGAACGATAGTTGTTTACCATCTATTGTTTATTGAGGTCATTTGATTTTATTTTTCGTTGCAACCATTTAGGTGTTTAAACAACCTAATTTGCAAGTCACAATTATGCTAATATATCATATGGTTCAGATAATCTTCCTCTTCTATTACACTAACCAAATTTATCACAGGGACTAATTGTTTTAAATAAACAGAGAGAAAATATGACAACGAATTGGTCATCGAATTAGTCAATATAAAATCTAGATGAGAGAAGTATACCGATTGTTAAATCATATATCAGTGTATCAATATGAGAAACAAGTAGAAATCATCAAAACAACGGACTCGAAGTGAGTGTTTAGAGGGTTGACAAGTCATTAATTTAGTCAAGCCTGATTGAACCCTGTGTTTAAAACACCCATATTTGATCATTTATTTACTTATTTTTAACCTAGTCCTAAGTAAACCTAAACCATTTCGTTTCGTTTATTCTCAATCTCTTTTTTTGTTTAGGAAATTAGTTTCACTCAATTGATTCATTATGATTGCACTGTATCAGACAACTGATTACGTAACTGCATATTCACTTATTGAAAGCGTTTTATCACCCATGTTAGCTTCATAAATCACGCAACATCACTATCAATTTCACAATAGATTAATATTGTGTAAAAAAGAAATAAGAAAGGATCCATCGAAACAAATGTATAGCTCTACCTAATGAAATCATTGGAGTGGAAAATTCTTTTCTTTACTACATTATATTTGATTTGATTTGTAATAATTTGCATTATCCCATTATTGATAGCTTTTTAACGAATTTTGATTAGTTTTATTCGACAAATGAGTATTCTGTGTAGATTGTCTGGAAAAAGTTAATATAGAAAAGATGGAATGTGTCTCTCATTGGAATACAGAATGAGAGTTTCTTTCTATTTGGGACACGTTAGCTGGACATATCTGTAGCCTGGAGTTTATGTTCATTAGGGATTCGAACCCAGAACTTGTCACTTTAAATATCAGAGTGAACATTATCTTTGGGATGTAGACACATACAGCTGTTGAGTCTCAAAAAAGACAAAACGCACGTATAGGATTCGACTGCTAACTACATTTCGCCTACTCTACATAAACTATCTTTAGCTTAATAAACTTAAATTGTACCTAACAATTTAATCCAAGATACTCCATTTCATCCTATTTAGGACTATTCAGGTGGATGTATCTGTATCACAATGTTACTATTTACAGTGAAACTAGAACTTAATAAGTTTCACTCGAAATACCAAAGCCTTATTGCCTGAGTTATTGAATTCAGATGGTCACTAACTTGTCCACCAATTAAGGAACCAGTTGCAAAGTAAAAGCTCCAATCAAATCAAAGTTATTTCATACAGTTTCGTTTGAATCCATAGTTAATGTGAGGATAGTAAATATAATTTAAAGGGAGTTGATCGAGTAAACATGTAAATAACACATTAATAATAGTGTGCAAACTTTGCTGGGTATTTAATGAAGTACTTAAACAAACTTAACAATGTATGATTTCATTGTCATGTATGCATATAATGATTCCACTGGAGATTCAATTACAACACACGTATATAAGTAATGAACCAACCTTCGTAGAAATGCTTTACGTTCTTCAATACGCTCCAAACCAGTTTTCATCATAATCGCTTGAAAACATGCTCTTTCCAACACCCAAACACGTGCATCAGTTACAGCTGTTTAAAAATTTGTAAATTAAAAACAGTTAATTTTAAAAAGTCTATACAATCAGAAGACATGTGTTTATAATCTGCTATAAATAGACATGTACATCACTGGATACCTTTTCAGTGGTTTAGAGGTGGAGGACTCACGTACTAGAGAGGTTCCAATACTAGAAAGAAACGGTTATTTAATGTTTTCTTAGTTCCCAATGGTCGTTTAATTTAGAATGATTCATGATCTCAATAAATAATTCAGATAGACACAATAGACAAGCAAGTATATCCGATTATGGCTTTGGTACCGATCGTAAAAAATAAAGTGGAACGACTAAGCGAGGATATTGTACCGCCTGTCATGAAACAACGGAGTATAATGAACAGTAGTTCTCTCTGCATTAATATAAGAATTTGAAATACGGTCTATAAAAGTAAAAGAAATTCGTGAACTATAACTATTCGACCACAGATCTATTCTTTCCGTAACATGGTCCAAACAAATAAGTAGTGTTGAAATTAACCCTAAGATACTAAGAATTGATGAGGCTGTGAAATTTTATCGAATTAGGTGAAAAGGTAACATATACAATCCTGGCTAAAAACAAAACTCGACATCAGTTCATGAAGCCATCAATTATTTATCTAAGAAACGTCTACACATGTGTAGAATTCTCAATAGACGCTCGTACCAATCAATAATTGAAGACACGTATTCACACCCGCAGTGTCAAGTCACCTAGACTGGTGACCACATTGCAACATGATCGATAGCATTCGATCTACACTAATAAGGACTAGACAAGCATGAGACTGATCACCACCCAGTGATTAATCAATTGTGATTACATCTCAGTCCTACAGGAGGTTAGTCACGGCTCGGATAGCTCAGTGGTAACGTCTCTGACTGTGAAGCTGGGTGACACGAGATCGAATCCGCCAGGGAGCACCAGTTCCATCAAGATTACAGGTACACTTTGCTGACGAGTGCCAAGTAGCACGAAACCCGGGTCCAGGGTTTTCTGTCGACTACTTCCAACTACCATCTAAATCTCAATACATAGTGCCCGCAGTGTCGAGTCACCTAGACTGGTGGCCACATTGTAACATGATCGATAGCATTCGATCTACACTAATAAGGACTAGACACGCATGACATTGATCACCACCCAGTGATCAATCAATTGTGACGTATTCACACCTTATATTCAGTATCAAATATACATAAATTACGTCAACTTGAAATTGAGATATAATTTAAACAGATTCTGAATATAATCGAATATAAAATCAATTATGTTGACAGTTACTAACCCCATATTACGTAAATTATAATTATTTGATTATGTTCAAAATGAGATATGTACATGTAGGTACACATGTACACACGCAAATAGATCGATAGACAGACAGACAGATAGATAGATACACAGACAGGATTATGAAAACATAAAAATTTCTGTTCATCAAAATGGATTATCCAAAAATGTGAATAAGAAGAAAAAATGATTGAACGTCAGTAGTATGAAATGAATTTTAAAAAATTTAATGATAACAGAAACTAAAAGGAGAAAAACAAGAAAGAGTGAACGACATATGAATATACATACAGATGGTCACCATAGCAACAATGAATAGATTAATGATACCATATGATCAAAATTACAAACAAACAAAAAGTGTAGCCAGTATTAATTTAAATATTTATAATTAACCATTAAATCTGTTATCCTTTGAAGTGTGTAGACAACATGAAATAACCGCTTTTTTTATATAAAAAGAAAAAAGAAAGAGGAAATAAAAATCTATCAGTCAATTAAATTGTTATTTCTAATGCGACAATTTAGTTCCTTTCAATTGATTTGTTTACATAATCTATTTCAACTTGTTTAAAAATTCGATAGATAAGAAGGTGAATTCACATGTTATGATATTCAATTCATTAACAATATGACATTCTAATCAATACGATAATAATAATAATAACAATAATTTAATAATTGAATTCATGAGTTAGTTGAAGTTAGACCATCATGGAAAATCTGCAACATTTGCTCAATACTGACTATCTTCAAGAGGTATTGCCTGCAGTTCTAGTGAGAAGCAGTGAACAGTAGAGTTCAACCACCTCTCTTATAAAATACTAATTCGATGATGAAAATGGTAGATATGAAGCAATTTCGTCGACTGGTTGAAGTTAGACAATAACAACGTTGGATGCCGGCCTCATCAGTGGTCTAAACATTAAGCATTCGTGTGCGAGACTGACTGGTCCTGGATTCGAACCTCGTGAGGCGGAATAGTGGATGTGCACTGTTGAAAAGTTCAATAATAAGATCAAACGGTCATCCAATGTTTCCAAATTTTCCATGGTCATCTACATTCAATTATCTCATGCACTCAATTATTAAATTACTACATTCTTCACAAATCTCCTCTATGATAATAATAATAATAATAATAACAATAATAATAATAATAATAATAATAATAATAATAATAATGGCGAGACTATAATTTATGGACGAACCAATCACATATAAGATAACGAGTCACGAATGTGGGCGCGGAATTCATTCATACATTTGGCTAAATAGAGTTTGGGCATTATACCTGATGTCAGTTCGTGATGAAAACCCTACATCTAATTTTAAACCCTAACCATCAACTGTAAATGAGAATTCTAACTGCTTTATAACCCTCATTTAGTCCTGATTAGAAGTTGTTCATTCTCAAGATCACTTCAGCGTCGCTAAAATGTCGTCCATAAATTATAGTCTCATCATAATAATATTGGGTTTACATCATCCATTGTCACATTATTTCAAATCAATATATTTCACATTCATTATTCAATCGACAATTTTATATAATATATGACAGGCAACAACTTCCCTTCATTGTATCCTTCGCATCATTTCGTGTGTATTTTGTATGCGTTTCACAATAGACCCATTCACCTTCACATTCATATGATGCATTAGTAAACTCATCATCAAATATGGGTAAAATCACTACATCAATCAATGTATTTCATTCAACGATCAAGTCACTTTCGACAACTTCTTCTAATGAACTGTTTATCCAGAGTCAAGAAATTTTCATTCAAATCATCAATCAATCAATTAATGTTAGACCATCATTGAAAACCTCGGATCACTGGGTCACCGTCTCGTTCTAGTATGTCACTCCTCCTTATCAGTGCGCATACACGATCTCCATGCATGGTTCAAATCAAACACTCCCAGACTCGTGCGAGAACACTTCATCTCTAGATCGTTCAGTGTTCACTAGCGTGACCAATAGTGTTGGATTCGAATCATGCGTGCGAGATCGTGTATGCACATTGATTAAGGAGAAGTCCCATACTAAGACGAAACAGTCGTTCAGTGTCTCCAGATTTTTAATAGTAGTCTAACAGTAATCGATACATGATTTCAATCAAGCTCAACAATCGCCACAATTCCAAACTGTTAATAGATTTTCATTGCATCAGTCTTTCGTGTTCTTATTTCGAGTTGTGGGAATCACAGGGACTCCTGTTTTTCAAGTATACGCAGTAGGTCCGAAGATATAACAGAGGCGATACGTACATCGTAGAGAGAACGGATTGGAGTATGATGAAACGTGAACAGCTGTCTGTTATGTACACAATAGTCAAACGTAATACTGGCACAAAACTGAGATGTTATTACACTCACATCATATATACCTCATAAATTTATACTCATTTAGCTGGAAATTAGCATTTTCTATTGAGTTACAAGGCTGTGTACGTATACATCTTTTCTTATTATGACTTAAAAGTGATTTTCATACGACATTTAACCATCATTTGCAAAGAGCGAGATTTATTTGAAAAAAGTATATGAAAGAAATTGATTTTAGAAATGTGATCGACATTACAATCAAACTTTACCACTCTTAGCATACCAACAGTAGCTAGACTTCACCTATGTTAATACACTTAATAAAAACATTTTACTGATGAGTGACTAATTAGTATGAAGTTAAGATCTAGGATTTCTGGTCGCTTGTCCCCAACTTCTCCCAAAATGTAATTTTTGTGAACATTATTTGATAAGGATTGAGATACATGCAAAAAACCACATTGATATCTCTTATCACTGTGATCAATCAATGTACACTGAATCCTACTGGATTTTCACACAACCAATGTACTTAAATAAATTTCGTTCAGATATTTTGACCATTTAAGTTTTCATGAAAACGAATAGAGTACTCACTGGAATTAAAAATTAGATTAACAAACAGCACACTTGTACTAAGCGCTTAAATTATTCACCCGTCACATGTACTGCATATTCATTAATGTATTTGTGTTCACATTACAGACAAACATTAATGTGAATTATTTTTAGTGATTAAATTTATTATTTATTTTATTTGAACACATAAATATTAGTACAAAATGCACCAAATATATATGACCCACACAAAACAATGAGAATTCGAAGAGAAAAATAAGAAGGTTAGGAGCGTAAAAGAAAAAAAAAGAAAAAGAACAATAACGAACACAGATTAGTGTAAGGCAGTGTAGTAATAATGATAATAATAATAATAGTAATGGGGGAAACGGAAAAGTACAACCAGAAGAATTCTTTCAGTCGAGGAAGAAACAAACATTTTTTTAAAATGAAGAAAGTAAAAGAAGGTTACAGCAGGATCGCCACTGGCTTCTATTCTGAGCCATATCTGATAACGTCTCTAGCCACTGTGTAGCACCATCTCTCGGACCCCAACCAGGGAGTCGTGAAGGACCAACACAAGCCAGTCCTTTGCAGCTTTCTTTCATACCACGACACCATGTCATGCACTGACCACCTCTCCGCTTCTTCCAACCAGTCCCAGAGTCGGCAAATAATGCACGACGTGGAATTCTCTGGGACGACATTCGGAGAACATGTCCAAGCCACCGAAGTCGGTGTTTCAAGATGGTGACACCAATTGATTATCATCTCTGTGCCCGAACACACGATGCCGAACCTCTGCATTAC